TTACAGAAGGGAATGAGAGAGAAGCTGGGTACAGCCAATATTTGTAGAGATAATGGTTGAGAACTTCCCAGCAATTATGAAAAAAATCCAATGTACCAATTAAAAAAAATCCAACAAATCACAATAGGTTAAATATAAAGAAACAAAATGTAGACATATCACAGTGTAAGTACAGAACACCAAAAATAAAAGAGATAGAGAGAGAGAGAGAGAGAGAGTCTTTCAAAGAAGAAAAAAAGAAAAGGAATGAGCGCAGATGACTGGTAGAAGAGCTCTAAGATGCTCTGCTTAGGAAGGAAGGTGAATGGACTGTGGCAATCTACAGCCATCAATCAAATACTTTAGGATGGGGCTGTTTACACAAAAATCACTGCTGTGACAAATGCATTAAGTCAAGTTCAGTGGCAGAGATCCAGCTCTGTCACAAATATTTAAATACTCAAAGGATTTTCTTCTTCCAAAGAAAAGAAAGCAGAACTAAAAGATATGTTGCCCAAAATGGCTGAGGGATTTATTTTACCCCCACTAGTACTACATAACTACAGATAAAGCCCCTTCAACTTGCCCATTCCCTAATGACAATTTGAGAGCCAAAGTGTGGGCCATAGTGTTATACAGATCTTGGTATTTCAATCATTCATTCTCCTCTGAAATGAGGCTCAGACTAGCATGCAAAACCCCTCTTTTGCTTAGCATGGAGAAAGCATGGGCATTGGAAAAAGAAAGGCGGCTAGAATCAATTAGGAAAAATACTTAACCTCCATAGGCAAAGTTTCCTCATCTACAAAATAAAGATAATAGTGCATATCTTCATTTAATCATCGAACATATATTACTAAGAATATTTTAAGCGTAAGGCAATGAAGACATAAAGATACATGTATATACAAACATAAACACATATACCAACTTTAGGAAAAACAAAGCATGGTGTTGATTGTCAGATCCTTACATTCCAAGCAGAATAGTTGAGTCTGTTCTGGTGATTATGACCAGACTGTGAAGAAAGACCTGAAGATATTGACATCAGAGATTACCCAGCTAAGTGTTCCAGCTAAATCATCACATGAGCGTCTCAGTGTAACAAGCCCTATCCACAACCTCAGAGATTCCGATCATTGTGCTAGCTTCCACTCTTAAATCTGAGCAGACAAGCAAACATTATGATACCCTGAGTTAAGTCTCTAATGTGAAATATATAGACAAAACCAAAGAGAAACAAATCAACATAGAAAAAAAAGATACCATACGGAGAGGATTTTCAAAGGTAAGAGAAGAGATTTCAACCAAGATAAAAACTAAGATGATTATGTCTGTGTATGCACATATATCTTTTTTTTAAATTTTTTAAATTTTAATTTATTTATGATAGAGAGAGAGAAAGAGAGAGAGAGAGAGAGAGAGAGAGAGAGGCAGAGACACAGGCAGAGGGAGAAGCAGGCTCCATGCACTGGGAGCCCGACGTGGGATTCGATCCCGGGTCTCCAGGATCCCGCCCTGGGCCAAAGGCAGGCGCTAAACCGCTGCGCCACCCAGGGTTCCCACATATATCTTATATATATATACACACACACACAGACATACACATATCTTATGAAAGAAACCTCTGGAAAGTAAATGAGAAATCTCACAGGTTAGAAGATAAAGGCAATGTAATTTCCCCAAGAGCAAAAAGGAGAAGGAAAATAAAGGGCCAGAAAATCAGGAGTCCAATATAGGAGTGACAGGAAGTCCCTGGGATAGAATAGAGGAGATGTGGAGAGGAAGTCAATGGAACAACTCAAGAAGACAGGTGGAGCTTCCATATTGCAAGGACTCATGAAGTACACACCAAACAGCATGAAAAAGTAAACCCACACTGGGGAATCTTGTTTAAGAAACTGAAAAACACTGGGGCTCAAACTGATGATTCTATATGTTTCCTGAATTTTCAGACACTGAAAACAGGTCACATAAAAGAATCCAAGATGAGAATGCTTTTCTACTTCTTAGGAAATACTGGAGGCTAGAAAGTAATACAACAAACCTTTCCTAATTCTGAGAGGAAATAATTTCTAACCTCTACCAAAACCATCATTCAACCATGGGTGTAAATTAAAGAACAACTAAAGGAGTGCAAGACCTCAACTATTTTACCTACTGTTCACCCTTTCTAGGAAGCTGCTCATGGAGATGCTGCACCAAAATGAGAGAGTAAATGAAATGAGAGTCTAAGACGAAGACATGGGATTTGAGAAACAGAAAAGATGAAGACTTCCCAGGATAATAATGAAATGAGGTTCTGGGATGAGGGATCTGCAGAGGGCACCAGTTCAGAGGTATTGGGGGGTGGGGGGCGGGATCCGGCACGAAGACAAAATTAAGAGACAGATGCATCCGAACAACCTAAAAGAGGATGTAGGTGGCTGGTGAGCAGATTGGGGCTGAATGAGTGTGACATTCAGACAAATACAAGGAACAATGTTACATAATTATTTGTTCCAGGAAAAGCAGGAAGTTGCACAGGAAAGAAAAATTTTATATGGCTTAGTAGTTAAATGCATTTTCTACTTGTCATAATATAAGGACTAAGTATTCAGTGAATCAAAATCATGATAGAAGTTGAGGTAGAAGGTATAACTGTGAGCTGGGGATAGGAAAGGGGAAAGAGCTGAATTTGTCTTCCAGATTGGGATGTCAGGACATAATGCCAAAAACTGGCAAATTAAGAAATATCAACATGAGCATGTTATTTAGACAAATGAGGGTTAAATACCCAAATCATCAGCTACGAAAGATGCAACTGGTGGCCCCTGGGAGAAGGCAAATGGGGAGAGGGCGGGAGAGCAGGAACTGCCATTTTTGGTAACACATGGGGTAACTTGCTGACTCAGGGGTCCCCACCTTGACACAGACTAGAATTGCACCGACACCCAGGACCCACCAAGTCAACCGACACAGAATCACAGGAGTTGGGGTCCAGGGACAGATGGTTTTGAGAAGGACTTGAATGTTTTTGATACACAGAAAGAGTTGCGTACTACAGCTTTAAACTATAGGCATGAGTTATTCCCATAAAAATAAAGAAACAATATTTAAATAAAGAAATATACATGAAATGTTGGTATCTATATGAAGAAATATTAGCAAACATGTTCAGGAAACATTTACAGTAAAGTTGGCACTCAAGAAATAATACATCAGTCACAGAGTTCTTTTTCATTAGAAATGTGCAAAATGGTAATTTAAGACTTTTCACATATGCTTTGTTGGAAAAGTAAATATCAGACTCCTTCATTATGTTAACACAGAGAAATGCATACTAGATTTAGAGGCACTGAATAGTACTAATTTTTAAAAAGACCAAATTGGTCTGTGCCATGCTCTGATTTGCAGATAAGTATGTTCTGGACAATTTAATTTTTGAAGGGAGTGATATGGCATGGGCCATCAAAAGCAAACAAATGAAACTTTCTATTAGTGCACTGTTATCCTGGGTGTCAGAATATTGAAATTTTCAATTAAATCACGATATATTGTTAGGTAAATACATTTCCAGTTATGCACAATGGTGTTTTTAAAAATCAGTGTGCAGTACTCATTCTCTATCCAAACAGCACTTTAGAAATAGCAGGCACATACAATGAATGATATTCCTGAGATTATTAAAAGTGATATCAAAAAAAGTGATATCAAATATTATCCAATCAAATGGAGAGAAATTAATAGACTGCTAAAATACTCTAAATGCATGCTAGATCATATTCAGTAATACACTTGACCTGGCACATCAACATACTCTGTTACATTAAACTGTAGCAAATGATTCATTTTCATTGATATCAAGGCACAGAATGCTTCTTTTGAATTTTGTGAAGATACAAAATACTGGACTCTTCTGATTTTATAGGTTTAAGTAAGTTAGCAAATAAAGCTTTTCTTTCCTTCAGCAACTTCCCACCCCCTCAAAAAGATTAAAAGCAACAACACAGACACGATTTAAGAAAGTATATAGTAATTTTCCTAAAATCAAAAGTTGTAATGTCAAACCTGACAAAAGTGGGTAGCAGGATATATGCTGAAAGATTTAAAATAGGATGGATGCTCTTGAAATTCAGACACTAACTCTAAAAGTGAAACTAAACATAAGAATTAGATGGAAAACATATGCTTGGGGTCATCTCTTGGTTAGCAGACATTTATTTCTGTTGTTCTCCTGAAATAAATCTAATATTTGCTTCTCCATCTAATAACATGAACACCCACAACAGAAATAGTTTTAATTGGCAGATCTGTGTTCATAGCATATTTTTGAACATATCGTTAACTAATGAAATATTGTAACCACATATAAAGATTCTGTTTTCATTTTCCTGTAAATTAGTTTGAATTCTAATATCCAATTTTAAAGTGTTTCGCTATGGGTAGTTTTTACGTAGTCATTAAAAAACACTGCTTCTATAGCAAAATAAAACAAAGGCTTTTACTTTAAAACCCTGTTACTTATTTCAGCAATCAGGGCCATCTTTTCTTACTTACTGTCACAAAATTAAAAAAAAATAATCTAAAACCATTTATGTTGATATTCAGATTGTAACAGTGTAAGATGGGATAGAGAATTCATTCAAACTCCAGCCGTTCAGGTGTAAAAGAGGAAAGGGTTGAAAACTAGAAAATAAAATTTGCCTATATACTCCTACCTCTATAAAAGAAAATTACTCTGGGTTATATAACAAAAATAAACCTCCCACCAGAGATCTTGGAAATCTTGAATTTTTTTTTTTCCTGCGGAAGAATTTATAATTTTCCACTGAGTGTCCATTCATTCGTTTTCTTCGTGTCTCTATTCATAGCACCAGATCCTGACTAGCATGCACAACCTCAAAAGAAAAGAAACACTAAATACAAACTGAGTAAAATTTTTAAAAGATAAAGCAAAATAAAAAGGCTTGTGTTAAGACTGCTTACCTCGAGGTGGTGCCATAATGTCTAACATGCACAATGGTGCTCGGAGAACTTACCTTGTATGCAACGCTGTTGGATGAATCCACAATAATAAACAGGGGCTTCCTTGTGAAAGGGTAGAGGTCTCCGGGATGAAGGCTGGGGAAATAATAATGGTAATGATGATTAACTGTGCAACTACTGGCCAAGTCTTAGAAATCTTACTCCTCAGTATGGTCTGCCCAGATATCATCATCATAGCACTGAGCAGAAAACAAAGATTAACTCAACCAAAGACAAAATATGTCTATCTTGACTGGGATAGATAAGTTAGCAGTTTTAGCTAGGAAAATATTCAGAGCAAATTATTATTCAGGAATATTCAAGATGAAGAGAGGTCTACAGATTTAAAGATGGACCAAACATACAATAGAAAAACATCATAAGTCAGCACATAGGTGCGTCTTTAGAATCTAAAAACTCTAAGAAAATGTTCTGAAAATACGATGAGAGAACACAATCATATTTGTACTGCAGTAAATCTTTTAAAATCTTGATCTATTTTAAAGATTTTTATTTTTTTTTAATTTTTAAAAAAGATTTTTTTTATTTATTTATTCATGAGACACACAGAGAAAGAGGCAGAGACATAGGCAGAGGGAGAAGCAGGCTCCCTGTAGGGAGGTCGATACAGGATTCAATCCTAGGACCCCGGGATCACACCCTGAGCCAAAGGCAGACGCTCAACCACTGAGCCACCCAGGCGTCCCAAAGATTTTAATATGTCAAGCTGCAACTTAATATTGCAGATACTAAGTAGGGGATCCCCTTTTACTACTTATTATGCTTCCTCTGTACATTTGCATCAGAATCTGCTGGGGTGCTTATTAAACATATAGATTCCCTGGCCCAAGAAAGACCCACTGGACCCAAAGTCCAGTAACATACATTTGAGAGCCACTGCTTAAAAAGGTCACAGTTTTAGTGGGCATCCTCTCTTTCCCATGGTTTACTGGACAACGTATGTATAAAAATATTAATGTAAATGTAAATATATAAAATGATGTGTCAATAAGCAACATCATCAAACCTCAGTATCTTTCAGATATAATTTTCTTGAATATAAATCATTTACGACCGAGGTCAATGACAGCACCAATATATGGCTTGGAGAACTGTTAGTTATTATACACATAATTTGAAATATCTCCCTCTCTGCCTTTCTTTCCTCATTCTTTAATATGAACAGTTAACATTTTTGGGGATCCCTGGGTGGCGCAGTGGTTTGGCGCCTGCCTTTGGCCCAGGGTGCGATCCTGGAGACCCGGGATCGAATTCCACGTTGGGCTGCCGGTGCATGGAGCCTGCTTCTCCCTCTGCCTGTGTCTCTGCCTCTCTCTCTCTCTGTGTGACTATCATAAATAAATAAAAATTAAAAAAAAAAAACATTTTTGTATAAAGTGCTATCAGAAATGCAGTTTCAGATAAGTCCAGTACCCTTTATAACCAGATGGTGATCCCTCATCTAGAGAGATTGTAGAGCCAATAATGGTCCAAGCAGTGAATGTGTTGTATTTAGGAAAAGAGCAAACTTACACAGATGAAATTTACTTGAAATCATACAATTAAGTTCACTTATACTATATCAAACCAAAAAAACCTTCTATTAAAAAGCTTGTATTGATGTTAACATGTATCACGTCCTGACATGTTATTTATGTATATATGTACAGTCTTTCAACTTGTCATTCTGCTCACTGACATATCCCCAATGATTGAATAGTGCCTGACATATAATACTCAGTGAAAATTTAAAAAATAAACATCAGTCAAAAATTCTAATTTTCTAGGACAGGCAGAGACTAAAATATTACTGGAATCCAAATAAGGGTTATTAACGGTAGTCTGAGGGAATATTTCCAGTACTAGAAAAAAACTCCCCATTTTAGTTAATATTTTCTAAGACAGAACTATAATTTTTATAATAGGGAGAGACACCGGAATACATACCAGTGCATTTCCTTGTGGGACTGATTTCGTTTGTGGATGGCATCTCCATTTATAATATCCCGATTACTATTAGTAAGTACCCCTCCAAAATCATAAGGACCTATAAAAACAAAGGGAAGAATTCTAGACTTCAGTTGGAGAATAACACTGATCTGACACTCAAATACAAAGGTCTTATATGAGTCTCTCGATACAAATGGAAGACAATAACAAAACATTTTAATCATTTTAAAATTTAACATTTTAGTTTAATGCGGTATTTAAATGATTTCAGCATGTTGCCTGTTTCAACATTCAAAAAAATCATTTAAGTATTCATCAGTTCTTCAAACAGAATATAATGAGAAACAAAACAAGAATCTACTACACCCCATTTTTCTGGGTGCAGAAAAGGGATGGAGGTCTGGGAAGTTCAAAATGATCTTTACATTTCAAGCAAAGTTAAATCTCACATTCAACCAAATTATTTAAGTAAGAAAGTTGCAGAATGAAGTCCTAATAATTTCTTAAATATAATTTTAAGTGAGCCACTAATTATAAAATTTGAGAAAATTTTGAATGGGTTTTGAAAATTGTCATTGATAAAAACTTCATTTAAAGAAAAGAAATGCCAAATTTCAGTGTGTGATAAAAATCTGTTATTGTCATTAATTATGTCAGCCACTGTAGTTCCAGTTTTGAAGTTAGCCTTTCCTATGGTCACATTGGTTAGCTGAACTCTTGTCTAAATGGAACAGTAACTGTGGGATGTTAGGAATCATCTCTCTCAAAGGACCATTTAGTTAGTACTTACTGTACTCTGAAACAGTGAAATAAGAGGTCAATATATTAAATAGGGGCCCAGTTTCTAGCACATGTTATAAAACATGGAAATAATCATTTATAAATAAAACTTACTAACTTCATTACAAAAAAATTTAAAGCAGTATTTATGATTGTGTCACTTTCAACACTGTCATATTTTATCCTGTAAGATCACTGCCATGAAAAGACTCTGAGATTTATTTTGTTTTGTTTTCATTTTAATACTTAAAAAGAATCTATATGTCATGCAAGGAAGATGGCAGGGACATGCATTGTATAAAGGAATGCAAATTTCAACAAACAGATGAAGAGGAAAATGTTAAGGATGTTAAGAAAAAAATTTTTTTGTCCAAAGATTTAATTGCCTAATTTACATCCAAGTTACTCATCTATTCTGACAATTTCATATATTCTGGACTCATATATTCTGGATAGTTTTAAGTTTTGACTCTGAAACAGCATCCCATTATTCTTCAGGTTGAATCCATAAAAAACAAAAAAGGACAGAAAACAAAATCATGAGGACTTGAACTTTCACAGTTATAAAAGTGCACTAATTTCTACAAAGACTTTCAGCCACAATGAAGCCACTGACCAGACTCCCTGATGTCCTAAAGGCCCAGAAAAACTCAATGATGTGAAGTAGAACATTAGGCATGGTTATTCCATATATATTTAAATAATATATATGTGCCTTTGGCAGACTTGATAGTGAGGCATGCATTTAGTATGCAAATTTGCTGATGATCTGTGGACTTCAAAGTATAATATTTCAACAAATGAAATAGACTGGGGTATCCACAAGATTGTCAATTCAACAAAGAGACCAGGTTTCAATTTGGAAGCCTCTTTGGAAAGCTTGGGATGGTCTGTGGGCTATGGGCCGTGGTCTTGTAGAAAATAAAGAGAATTCAAGCCCTGCTCACGACAGGGAGCATTCCTTTATTGTACCTTCACTATCAGAACGACCTGTGGGGAAAACACCAGTGGCTGACAGGTAAATCAGAAGCACACTATTGGCAGGCAGCTCCTGAAATTAAAGAAAATCACATATACAAAACAACAAACAGTTTTATTTAAAGTTCCTGACATTTTAAAGTTGTAGGGACAAAAAGAACCTAATTCAATAATATATTACTGTCTTCTCCAAGAGAACCACCACTCTTACAGGTTCCAACTTATAACTGTTTACACAACAGAGACATTATGAATCTATACTATTACCAAAGTTTTGAAGATATTATTTCAAAAACCTCATCAGTTAGAGAATGTTCTCTGCAAACCCTGAAATGGAGAAGTAAGGATTCTGACTATAGATCTAAAGGACAAACTCCTGCCTGTGGCTTTCTCTACATAAATGCTGGGAGGAATTTTCTACTTTTCATTTCTTTCAGATGACCACAAGGCTCCATAGAGCTGCCTGAACATATAACATGCCTGTGCAATCTGACTGTTATGCCTAAAGTAGTTTAGAAATAAAAACCTGGAGAAAGAAGAATGATAATTAATCACTATTCTCATTAATGTTAAGGAGCAGTTATAACATTGTAAGCAATTTCCATTCCAAAATAGCTGTGATCAGATATTCTGAATGCAGTTTTCAATTTCATATTTTATCTAAATTCTTGATTCAAAGATTCAAAGAAAAGAGTGACTCTCAGATTCTATTTAGAGCATATTTTCCCCACATAATAAAAATTATCAGATCATATATACCTTAAAAGATGCTGCTAAGAATGTGTATAGTTGACTGAAGGTTGGTTTGTAGAGCAGATATTTGTGGGGGTTTTCTCGTCTGGTAGGTTTATCAGCTGATTCCTATATTATACACAGAAAACAAGACACATACAAGCTGTATTTCACAGATGAATTATCAATGGCTGTTTTTACTATCCTCTTCATCAAATAGCTTTTTAAAAATTCCATGTTACTTTTATTGTGCTTATCTCTCTCTCGTGTTTCATCAAGAGAATTCTTTATTCACATGTGTAGCATTTGTTGTATAACAGCATTCCATGAGGAGCAGAAGCAGGAACAGTGTTACCAAAATCGCAAATGTAGAGAGAAGATCACCTGCATTCCTGGTTTATTCATCTGGGAAGCTAGATTCATTGGCTCCCTTTCCAGGGCTTGTAACATCCGGAACATGTCCACAGTTAGTTCACTAAACTTAACCTGGAAGACCAAAGAAAACAAACCTCCCCATTAATGCAGTACACAGACTTAGAAGTCTCTGACTGTAATATTACCCCTGACACTCATGTGTATTTAATGACATTAATTTACCCCCCCCCATGTTTTATTAGAAAAAACTTCCAAAGACAGACAATTAATTGTATGGTAATACTCAATACTCATCATCTAGATCCTATACCATTAACATTTTCTGTATACAGCTTTATCTGTATTTCTCTATTTTTATTTCTGTCAATCCATCAACTTCCTCAGGTATTTTTAAAAACATGAAAAGTAGTCATCTTAACAAAAAGACCTATATTAGGTCCTTCAAAACATGCTAACTTTTGGCAAAACAGCCTAATGGAACAGGCTATGGCCTATATTTCAGAACCTCTTCAATACATTTTCTCTATCTGATATTAAAGCTGCATCCTTTTCCATTATGAATAATACTTCTATAGAACTTCAGGTAGGCAGTGTCGTTTTTTTTTTTAATTTTTTAAAATTTTATTTTATTATTATTTTTAAAGTATTTTATTTATTTGAGAAAAGGGGAGGGAGAGAGAGAGAGAGGGAGAAAGAGCATAAGCAGGGGGAGTGGCAAAGGGAGAAGAAGCAGACTCCCCACTGAGCAAGGAGCCTGATGTGGGGCTCAATCCCAGGACCCCAGGATCATGACCTGAGCTAAAGGCAGACACTTGACCCATTGAGCCATCCAGGCACCCCTAAAATTTTTTATTAAATCTTTAATCCAAATCACCTATTTCACTCATCCTATCATTCTCTCCCTTGGAAACCATCAGTTTGTTCTCTATAGTTAAGAGTCTGTTTCTTGGTTTGCCTCTCTTTTTTTCCCTGTGTTCATTTGCTTTATTTCTTAAATTCTATATATAAGTGAAATTTTATGGTATTTGTTCTTCTCTGACTTACTTTGCCTAGCATTATGCTCTCTAGTTCTTTCCATGTTGTTGCAAATGGCAAGATTTCATTTCTTTTTATGGCTGAATAATATTCCATTATACACACACAGATACACACACACCCCCTCTTCTTTATCCATTCACCTATTAATGGAAACTTGGGCTGCTTCCACAGTTTGCCTATTCCAAATAATGCTACAATAAACATAGGGGTGCATGTATCCCTTTGAATACGTGTTCTTGTATTTTAGGGGTAAATACCCAGTAGGGCAATTATTAGATCATAGGGTAGTTCTAGATTTTTAACTTTTTGAGGAACCTCCATACTGTTTTCCACAGTGGCTGCCTAAGTTTGCATTCCTACTGTGTAAGAGGGCTCCTTTTTCTCTACATTCTCACCAACATTTGTTGTTTCTTGTGTTTTTTATTTTATTCTGACTGATGTGTGAGGATATCTCATTTTGGTTTTGATTTACATTTTCCTGATGATGAGTGATGCTGAGAATCTTCCCATGTGTCTGTTGGCTATCTGTTATGTCTCCCCTGGAGATATGTCTGTTCGTGTCTTCTGCTCATAAGCAAGCAATGTTTTAATTTAAATTAATTTTGCAAATTAATGGCTTTAAAAGCCAAAATTGGAGAAGTACTAGAAAAAGTTATGAACAATAACAAAAAAAAAAGGTGTGAGGGAAGGATCTAAAATTAAAACTTGTGTAAATAATGCATATAGAAAAATGTATTCACTGGACACTTTAAATCCTTATCATCATGGAAATATTCTTTCATGAAAAAAATTTGATATTTGCTGTGACAATATACTTAAAAATAATTCTTCCTCCCTTTTACCTGACTGTAAAATATATAGATTTTTTTAAATTATAAAGAAGAAAACAGGGGCCCCTGGGTGGCTGTCAGTTAAGCCTTCAACTCTTGATTTCAGCTCAGATTTGATTATGGGGTTGTGGGACTGTGCCATGTGTGGGGCTCTGCACTCAGTAGGGAGTCTGCTGGAGATTCTCTCCTCTCTCTCTGCCCCTTCCCTGCTCACATACATGCACTCTCTCTCCCCCAAAATAAATAAATAAATCTTAAACATTTTTTAAATAAAGCAAAGCTTGGGGCACCTGGGTGGCTCAGTCAGTCAAGCATCTGCCTTCAGCTCAAGTCACGATCCCATAGTCCTGGAATCAAGCCCAAAACTGGGCTCCCTGCTCTGCAGAGAGCCTGCTTCTCCCCCACCCTCTGCCACTCTTATGCTCTCTCTCCTTCATAAATAAACAAACAAACAAACAAATAAATAAATAAAATCTTTTTTTTTTTAAAGCAAAGCTTTAAAAAAAGAAATCACCCATAACTCTGTTTTTCAGAGATAAACCTTTTATGATATTGGTAAATTTCTTCCTAGCCTTTTTGCCTATACATATATGTATATAGCGATTTTAACATATATGAAATAATTTGGTTTATATAGCTCAATAACAAATTTATTTTCACTTCCCATATCACGAATATATCTTCTTCTGCAATTAAAAATTCTTTCTAAACTTGTAAATGTCTGTAATATAATCCATATTTACATGGCATAATTGAATTAACCATTTCCTCACAAATGGATTTAGGATATTTATAAGGAAATAATCATTCTCTAATAATAATCTGTAATTCTGCAATAAAAACCATTATTTTTCAAAGTGAATTTTAAGTATAATTCCTTCACAATTCTTTACCTGGTTATTACAATTACCAATAATGAGTGCATCAGCCAGAGACAATTGTCCCACAATCATGCCCTGTTCCAGCAATGGGGCTCCTGTTTCAGCAAGACGATTAGATGTGATCACAATGGTATTATCATCATTTAATACCATCACGGGGTCCGCCTGGAGAAAAAAGCGGTAAGTAGTTGATGGCTACAACAAAAGTTAATATAATAAATTATTCCTTCTTCTTGACTTATACACACAATAAAAATGTATACCACATATGCATTTACTGATCCATAATTATGACAATCTATCTTGTCAAAAGCTGACCTCAATGAAAGCTGCTACTTCTTGAAGCACCAGGTTCCATTCCACTTGATCTTCTGTATTAAAGCGGTGAGTATAATCTTCAATTTCATCTGACAATTCCTGATTTTAAAATATCACAAGGAAAATGATTACAGGAAAAAAAAAACATAAAAATAGATGGCTATGTTGCACCATATTCTTGACAGAAATTGATATAGTTAAGAAGCTTGATTATTATCAACATATAGCCTCACTTATAGCCAAAAACAAAGAAGAAAACTTTTATTTTGCTTTAAAATAAAAGACTCCAAAAAATAAAAAAATAAAAAAATAAAATAAAAGACTCCAGAATAATACACATCAATAAGATCTTCATAGAGAAACAGAGTGACTCATACTTACTCAATGCTACACCAGCACTTAATAGAAGATTTCTAAAGGTAAAGCCCCAAATTTTTAACACCTAAAAAAAATGAAGACTATCTAGATGATTTTCTTTGGATTTATATCATACTGTGTTTTGGGAACAGCCATAGTAACTAGAGGTGGAGGAAGACAGAAGAGGACTTGTCAAAACTAGCATGTTCTACCTGAGTACCAAAAATTAGGAAGCACGCCACTGGAATGACCGACTACAGAGTGCAACCAGAATGGGGTGTGCAATATTGAGTGATTCCCAAGTGTGGTTAACTCCTGATTACCTGAGTTAATGGAGGACAGTGACGTAGACATAGTAAAAGGATGGAAAAATCAAAATTCATTCACAATACCTTTGTAAAACATTGTATGCTTGTTCTTGACTTAACCTTTCAATAATTTTCTCTTAAACTAAATATTTTAACTTTTGTTTTCATTTCCCAACAATCTATTGATGGGTGGTGAAAGTAAAACATACTTAAGGGACAAAAGCAAGGAATTAAGAGCACTGTCTCTGGCTAGTGTGTATCTAAAATATGAGGACTGCAGGAAAATCCTTTTAGCATTATGCTTGTCCAAAGTTACTGTACTTTGAATGTTGTAATGATTTACATATATGAAAATTATTCCCTGAATATTTTTAAAAAACAAAATTATCCACATACAACTACAAATTAGAATTTTAGTAATTTTAAAGCACACTTACTTTCACCAAATCCTTCACAACATCCATTTTGTTGAGCAGAAGACAAACTACAATAAATCTTGCATAGTATCGTAGCTTCTTAACAACCAGCTCAGGTCTACAGCAGATAAATGGGAAGTTACTCATTAGACTAAAAAAGAAAACATGTCCTTTGATTTTTCTATCTTTCTGGAAGCTTTTAAACTCTTTAGATCCTATTTTGCACAGTTACAACTATTTCTGCATATAACCTGTAGTAGCATTTAAACACATTTCTTAAAGATTCCTTGTGGTCATTCATATATTCATTCATTGAACAAGTACCCATTGAGAACTTAGATACAACAGGCACCCTGCTGAGTGCTAGAAAAATGATTAAAACAAACAATTACAGACATGGCCCCTTCTTCACGGATCTCAGAGACAGGACGCTACCTAAAATTCAGTGGAGACAGATAAACACTTAAAACACAGCGGAATAAATACAACAGGAGAAATAAAGGATGCTATTTGAGCCCACAGAGAAGGCTTCCTAGAGAGAATGATATTCAAGGTAAGATGATAAAGAGTAAATAAAAGACAACAGGCAGGAAAATACGAGGTGAAAAAAGTTCTGGGAAGAACGTTCTCTGTTTCGAAATCTTATTTTCTGATATTAATATAATCAAACCAGTCTTCTTATGCTTACTTTGTAAGCCGTATCTTTTTCTATCCCTCTATTTCCAGTACATGTGTCTTTTCATATTAACTAATGTTGTTAGGTAATACATAGTTAGCTTTTTTATCCACGTTGACAATCTCTGCCTCACAGACTCAGGAACTTGGACCATTTACATTTTATCTGATTGCTGCTTTGGCTGAGTTTGTATCTCCCACTTTGCTGGTTGTTTTCTACTTCCCCTTTCTGTGTTTGTGTTTTCTAGGACTCCTTTCTCGTTTTCTTTTCAGTTAATCAACTATGTTTTAGCTTTCTCTTTTTTGTATCCTCTGTCAGTTTCTTACTTGTAACTCTTCCTTACTATTCTTTTAGTGGTTGCTATGAGTAACTTATCACAGGATATTTACAATCAATATTGCACCTCTCTCTTCACACCTGACCATCTATACTCATTCCTTATCAGTCCAAACCCAGTATTTCCAACTTCCACAGCCTTCATTACAATTGTAATAATCTTATGATGATACATTCTGTATATGTTTGATAATAAAATTTTTAAAAATCCCTCTTTGGCCCATGAGTTATGGAGAAATGTGTCTACTAATTGATAAATTTATTGATTTTTTTTAAAACTATGCTGTCGTTCTTAATTTTTAATGGCATTGCACCACAGTTAGACATCATACACTTGAAAATAATCGAAACCTGTTTTTTTATTTTTTATTTTTTGTAGATTTATTTATTTATTCCTGATAAACATGGGGGGGGGGGGCAGAGACACAGGAGGAGGGACAAGCAGGCTCCATGGCGGGAGCCCGACATGGGACTCGATCCCGGGACTCCAGGATCGCGCCCTGGGCCAAAGGCAGGCACTAAACCGCTGAGCCACCCAGGGATACCCCTCGAAACCTGTTTTGCATCAGGTGTAAATCAATTTCACAAAATTTTCATATAAGCTTGAAAATTATGTGTATTTGCTTAATGTTGTAGGCAGTTTTAAGCATATTAGAACAATTTTTTTTTAAGATTTTATTTATTTATCTATTTATTTTTTATGATAGTCACACAGAGAGAGAGAGAGAGGCAGAGACACAGGCAGAGGGAGAAGCAGGCTCCATGCACCGGGAGCCCGACGTGGGATTCGATCCCGGGGCTCCAGGATCGCGCCCTGGGCCAAAGGCAGGCGCTAAACTGCTGCGCCACCCAGGGATCCCTAAGATTTTATTTATTCATGAAAAATACAGAGAGTGAGAGAGAGGCACAGACACAGGCAGAGGGAGAAGCAGGCTCCACGCAGGGAGCCCGACGTGGGACTCAATCCCGGGACCCCAGGATCACACCCTGGGCGGAAGGCGGCACTAAACCGCTGAGCCACCCGGGCTGCCCTAGAACAAGTTTTTAATTGTTATTCAAATCTCATTTTTCCCCTCTTTGATATGTAAATGACTATGGTATATTAAAAATCTTCTTGTATAATGGATCATTTTTAATCAATTCCTCCCAGAAAATATGCCACTTTTTTCTTTATTATAATGTATAAGCAAGTACATATACAACAAGTTTAGAATTTTTTATTTTGAGTTGTTCCTTTTACTATTAAGAAGTAAACCTCTAACCTTAATAATACCCTCTACTGAGGCACCTGGGTGGCTCAGTCAGTTAGGAATTTGCCTTTGGCTTGGGTCATGATCTCAGGGTCCTAGGATAGATAGAACCTGAGTTGGGCTCCTTGCTCAGCGGGGAGTCTGCTTCTCTCTTTCCCTCTGCCCCTCCCCCTGCTCATGTGCAAGCACTCTCTCTGAAATAAACAAATACGTCTTTAAAAAAAATAACAATAGGGATCCCTGGGTGGCGCAGCGGTTTGGCGCCTGCCTTTGGCCCAGGGCGCGATCCTGGAGACCCGGGATCGAATCCCACATCGGGCTCCCGGTGCATGGAGCCTGCTTCTCCCTCTGCCTGTGTCTCTGCCTCTCTCTCTCTCTCTCTCTCTCTCTCTCTCTGACTATCATAAATAAATAAAAATTTAAAAAAATATTTAAAAAAAAAAATAACAATACTCTCTGCCTTAAATATAGTGGCTTTTCTTCACCTTGGGATCTATTTTTTCTCTGTGTCTCTTGTATCTTTGGAGGATCTCTTATAAACACTGTATTTCTGGATTTTCCTTTTTAAAAGGCATACTGATTGGGGCACCTGGGTGGCTCAAGTCACGATCCTTAGGTCCTAGGACTGAGCCCCGAGTCAGGCTCCCTGATCAGCAGAGTCTCCCTCTCTATGTGCCTCTCTTCTCGCTCATGCTGTCTCTCTCTCAAATAAATAAAATCTTAAAAAAAAAAAAAAGAAGACATATTGACAATCTCTGACTTTTATTAGGAAGTTTAGATCACTTTCACTTACTATGGTTACCAATATGCTTGGACTTATTTCTACTTTAGTTTTTTGTGCTAATTACTAATTATATTTTACTTTAGTATACATTCCTTTCCTACCTTTTATTGTAATGATCATACATCATAATTATATTATTCACTTTCCTCTTTTACCTGTTTTGAAGTTATACATTTTCTTTAGGTTCTTTAAAAATATTTTTCTTAATATTTTAATAAATAAAAATATTTTATTTAAGTTTCTTCTGAACAATAAATGGATCTTATTGGTATGGCTTAATTCTTTACTGTCTCCTTTCATGTTATTGTTGTCCAGAATTTGGCCCCATTTTATCTGGATAACCTCAATTAGCCATTATTACAATGATTACTGTCTTATGAAGTCTGTGATTCTTTCAGAAACAGAGGGATAACTTTTTTCCCTTGTATATCACCCGTTCCTTTCAGTTTTAATTTTCCTTTTTCTGAAGAAATCCATAGTAGTTCTTTTATATCACCAAAACTGACCACCCTCTTACAAGGTTGTCACAGCACTGGTCACAGGGTTAATGACCCAAGGATTTCCCTTACTTTGTTAACAGCTAAGCTGTCCATTTAAAAGGATGGTTGATTTTTTTATCCAGCATCTCTAGGTAGTTTGGAGACTATTTCTGATTATCTAGCCTGCCACATTGTCAGAATTGGAATTCAAAATAGGAGGAAAATTTGTAGAAGGATGATGTCAATTCATAGTTGAAACAGTAATAAGACAATTCCTTGAATTTTTTGAATAAAAATAAAATAGATTCTGTGAATCTATATCATAGATTATACAACTATGTAACACAGATCACAAGAACACATACTGAACCAGGGATTGACCAATTTTTGCAAATGGCCAGTAAGTAAATGTTTTAGGTTTTGTAGGCACATATGGTGTTTGCAGTGTATTTATCTTTTCTTTTTTCATAGCACTTTAAAAGTATAAAAAGGATTCTAAGCTACCAGACAGTTCAAAAACAGGCATGCCAATCCCTTTATTAAATATAAAGAAGTAGGTGGATGTATTCCATTGCAGAAACCACTTGTGTCGAACTGCAGCAAAGTACAGATAAATAAGTCAGTGCTATCCACTCATACACACAAGAGGCTATCCCAGCCAGGCCTGAAAACCTGAACAGCCCATAGCCCACTGTCTGACAACATATCAAACTACAGAAAAAAAAAAAAAAAAAAAAAGATCCCATGAACCACACTAAAAAAGGTCCACAACAAGTCCTCCCTATAAACAGTACTACTAGGAAGTGCCAAGGTCCACAAGTTTAGATTCATGTTTCCCAAGATAAAAAACTTCCATACTGTCAACACTACAACTGACATCATGATTTCCCTGACAAAGTTCTTCTGGCACTCTGAACTGTAGCTTTGTCTACTAGGCCCCCTACTTCTAAGACACCAACTCTGCACATTTGCCTGAGAAACTGTTTTCCCAGGTGGCTGACTGTAACTTGGCCCCAAACTCTGAGTACTCAGAAACTTCATCTTCTCTACATCTAACTCTGACCAGGTTCAGCCTCAGCCACTTGCAACAGTCAGGGTTTGTGGCTCCCAGGACAAATAATGATGGGGCAACGTCTCCTCTACAAAATAGGATGGGCCCATGGAATGAGACATTTTGAGAGTTGTATATGCTTAGTGACAGGCAGTCACTTTTGGTGATGGCTGGAATATACCATTCTTTTTGGCTTTAATACAGTCCTTAGGTACTGGGACACTGCAAAGAGAACTTGCCCCTTTGAGATTTTTGCAACTGTGAAATTGCACAAAACTCTCTTAATGAACCAGCTGTTCATTTTATTTTATTTCTTATTTAAATTCAATTTAGTTAACATATAGTGTATTCTTAATTTCAGGGGTAGAATTTAGTGATTTATTAGTTGCATGTAACACCCAGTGCTCCTTACATCACGTGCTCTCCTTAATGCTCATCAATCAGTTACCGATATCCCCTCCCTCAACCCTCAATTTGTTTCCTATCATTAAGAGTCTCTATGGTTTGTCTCCCTCTCTGTTTACATTTTATTTTATTAATACAATAGAATATTCCTCAGCCATCAAAAAGAATGAAATCTTGCCATTTCCAATGAGATGACTGAAACTAGAGAGTATTAGGCTAAACCAACTGTTCATTTTAGCAGCTGTCACCATTTGCTACCTTGACTGTCTCCCTGCCCTGAGCAAACTAAGAAACAACCTACCAACCTACCAACAGAACAGAAGTCCTTCCTAAAGTAAAGGGAAGGAGGTCAAGGTTTCACATGTGGGACTGTCCTTTCATTCTAATCTAGTAGCCTAAGGCAAGAGACTAGGTCATCCTGGTTCCAAATAATCCTACTTCTGTTCATCTGCCCTGCTCTAGGAGGCAGCACAGGAAAACCATTCATATGCGGTATTTGCTATTAGGACAGAAAAGGTTTTTAATAAATGAAATTGTTGGGTTTTAAGCTAAGGGGCCAATTTCTCTTTAAGTGAATTAGAAAACGCGGAAGAGTGAATTAGACAAGGTATTTCATTATTGCTTTAAAAAGTTCTTTGAGGGCAGGACGGAGGGGAAAAAAAAGAAAAAATAAATAAAAAATAAAAAGTTCTTTCCTTCTATGTATTTTCATACTGAAAAGATATTATTACATAGACCTTTTGCCTATTTTTAGAAATAAAATTTATCTTACCAAGAATTCAAATTGTACAATACGAATGCAAAAAAAAGGGTGGAGGGGTATTCCTGAGGAAATATATCTGTAGTGGAAATATGTGAAGCAAACCGTGAGAAAATCTGAAGGAGAGGTAAGTGGTGGAACTTCTGATGGAAGAATGAAGCATGGTGATGACTTTGGGGGAAAATGGAGAATGCAGTATCTGCATGCTCTGCTTGTACCAACCCAACTCCTCTGGACAAGCCTGAATAAGATCTGCTAGGGAATGAAGGGGATTTACAAGAGTGGGGCTTTCCCAAAAATATCGCTGTTTAGCTGGAAAGCTTATGATAGCCAACCACAAAGTGTTCTCTAGAAAAATACGTCAAAATTATGATCTTGTCTACTGCTAAAAGAATATAATCTTTTCACTATACAACAACTGTGAGTTCTGCTTCCAGGAGTAGAGAGAACATTCAGATCTTCTATGCCTGAGCTTTCTCTTCTAATGACTCCTGGAATATTAGTAACAAAGATTCTCCAGCAGAACCCTGATTTCTTTAGCAATTCCATTTTTACCTGGAATTAATGACATCACAGTTTAATTGTCCCCCAAATACGTCTGTAACTCCCATGAGAAGATAATCCTCTGAAAGGAAAAGACACCACCCGCACACCTTTTTCTTTTCTTTTTCTTCTCCCACCCAGTATCTACACCACACTGCCAGATATATTAGTAAATACTCAACAGATTACCACTGGGAATGAATGAACTCTATGTAATTTTTTTTTTTTTACAGTGGAGCTACACAATTGTAACATATCTGGTTTATAGAAGACAATGTAAACAGCATTAGCAGGCTTTTCTTCAGTCCCATCAACAGGTTTTGAATGTATATGAATTCAAATTACACAGGCTACAACAAATCTAGAATAAAGACTATCAGCTAAGCCTCACTTTGGAGCTCTTTTCTATTAAATTTTGTGGGACCCCATATAAGAAATAATCAACCCCTTCTTTGTGTTCTGACTCCACCAGGTATTGTGACATCTGTTATAATATCTATAACATTTATTGCTTTTTAGGTTAACGATACATCTTTATGCTTAAGAAGGACTAGTACACTGTAAGGCACTCAATAAAGCCCATTTAAATAAATGTACACTTCTTTGCATAACTTCCACACAGACTAAAAATTCTTAAGTGTTTTACCTCCTTCTTTCTAAAAACAACAGTAGGTGCATACCTGTCCTCTTTATTGACTTGAGAATAATATGATCTCTGTCTGATTGCAGAATAGAAGGAGAAAGCCTCATTCAGATAGCTGGTCTCAGATGTGCGTAGGCTATGAGAAAAAAAAATTTTTTTCAATTTAAATCTGATAGCATCTCAAAATCTTCATGATGAATACTTGTTTCCTGTTTCATTCTTTCTCTATTCCTCTACACAAGGGGATAAGAAGGACTATCCTAAATTTGAATCAGCAAAGCAATAATCCTAATACCCTTACAATGTGTAAAAATAATGACAATGTAAAAAAACAAAAAAACCTCACCACTGCTCCCAAGCCTTTTTTGATGACAATCCAAAGTCTACGTTGTTTTCATTCTTTGAAGGGATTCTCCAAACAGCATTCCACCCAGTTACATCTTTCTACCAGACCTTTCATGACCTTCCCCAAATCCATATAGTCACTTGTCCTTAGGCTCATTTCTTCAGTTTTTTTCTCATAGGACTCAGAAATGGACTAATCCATAGTAATCTTCAGAGGATGCTGATGAATCTGGTTCTCTGCTTAACATTTCTAGTTTTACAAGGAACTTAAGAAAATATTCTACCTTTCAGAGTGATTTTAATGGGGGAATGTTGGACTGTGAGCCAAAAGACAGGAAGAGGAAGAAATTCTGTATGGTCCAAGCTTTTTATGGTATACCTGATATTACTCTATAAGATTTAGATTCCTAAAGGGAGTTCTCTTCTTTCCTTGACTCATCACTAAAGATCTTATCAAAATTATCTTTATCCACTTCATGAAACCTTTTAGATATATCCTACAAATAGAAGTATTCCCCCAAAAAACACTCATTCAAACATATAAGTTATGATATATAAAGATTTAAGTGAAGTCGTTAATAACTATAAATTCATTTAGTATTTATGATTTATCTAAAACCAAGATCATAATCATTTCAGTTATAAATAAGCCTGCCCAAATGAACTGTTTGAAAGGTAAACCATTGAAGCAAATAATGTTACTTGGATTACGGAAGATCATTTCATAATACTGTTTTGATCACTATAATCTGGGGTCATTTATATCTCTTTAGTTTTCCCTCCTACCAAGTATAGTATGCACACTTCTGCATGCTGTGTTTAAATCAAGACAACGCTTTATTTTTTCCATATGTAATTCACTTACTAATAATGGTAGTATAGCTGCCCAATCTTAGAAGCAATTTCCCCTATTTGCCACCGCTTCAAGCCATACCGATTATCCAAGACTTGTCTGTTTTACATAGGAGATAAAAAAATAGAAATAAGAGACTATAAATTCCAAAAATAATCAAATCTGTATATTTAATAGGATAAAATACCACCCAATTCACCATGAAATTCTGAATTCATGAATTCAAATTCATGAATTTTTCATGAGATTTCAACATCATTCAATTAAATTCAAAAAACATGTATTAAATGTTTATTTAAAGTAAGCTGATATATGGAAAGAAACTTCTTGAGCTATGCTCATGAAAATTAACAACACCCCCCAACAGCTTTGACCAAAACATAACACCTATTTTAGAATGAAACCGCGAAGCAGCCTACCTATGTTAGAGGTAATCTGAACCATTTCAGATTTACTATAATACTATCTTTAAAGATCAGATGACAACATAACATTTTAAAAACTTAAGTAGCTAAGAAAAAAAGCAATGTAATTTCCTTTGTGTCATGAAGATGAAATATATTAAAGTGCATCAAGAGATAAAAAGCACTGAGGTAGTAAAGGTGAAAACATGGACTAATATAGACTGGATCTTCATTCTCCTGTAACTATTAAATTCCTTTACAAAAAAAAAAAAAAAAATTCCTTTACCGATGCTGCTGCTGGAACTTCCAGAGTTTGGTGTAAACATCGAAAGTTCTTCCAAAATAGGACTGCCACTGCTTCTGCCCATATTGTGGCAAATCTCTGAAATAACAAACAATGATTATTTTTAAATCTCTTCTGCTATTTAGTATTTAAGTCTTGTGATGGTATAAACTGAACAGATTTAAAGCATTTCCATTCAGGCTTTCTTTTTTAAAAAGTTGTGGTTTGGGGGACAGAAATGGTTCCATAAGAGTCCAAGACATGTTCTTTCCTATTCTTTCCCCCACCTCTGTTTATTCTTAGTCTCCTTTGTAGATACCTGTCCCATGAGGTTTCTAACACTCTCTTTCCTCTCCCTGGGCTATCTTATCCATGGTCACTTATACCCTGATAACTTCCAAATGTTTATTATTTTCATATAAGAACTCAGCACTGTGAAAAACACTGCTGCTTTAGAGAATATATCTAGAAGTGGAAATGCAGGTGGTATTACTGTTCTCAATTATTCTATCTTCTCCCTTTAGGTGAAATTATACATCCCTGTCCTTGGGTCTGGTGACTCATAGTACACCCCTCAGAGACAAATTCTTTCCTGCCATATAAACACTGGGCCTGGCCATAAGACTTGCCTTGGCCAATGAAATAGAATTGTAAGCTTCCCATGCCATGTCTAAGAAGATGAAATAAGAGATGCTACATAGCTCAGTGTTTTCAGTTCCCTCCAATCTAAGACCAAGACAGGGCTGCTCTTCAACCTGGAACACAGAGTAAGACACCTTTAAAGGAATCTCAGAACTGCAGACAACTTATAGCTAACATGGGAGCTAGAAAGAAACTTCTATTGTAGCAAGGCACTAAAATGTTGGAGCTGTTAGGCCTCCCTGAGGGCATGGAAAAATAAAATAAAATAAAATGTTGGAGCTGTTACAGCAGCCTTACTGACAAAAAGCCAGTACAGAAATGGATACCAGGAAGAGGCTATTGCCATAACAAATACATAACATATGTCACACTGGCACTGGAATTGAGCAGCATGAAACTGTAATAGAAGGCTGGAAAAATGATGGATGGCATGTACAATACAGAAGAAACAGCAGCTGCCTACCTGGGAAGCAGTTAAGGTGACTAATGAACGTATGGATTTATACAAAGAAGCCAGGAAAAGTATGCTACTAGCCCTGGATGCTGTGAGGTTCACTTGATAAAACAGGAGAAAGAGATGAACTCAGAAAAGAACTAGCTGCAGGGGGATCCCTGGGTGGTGCAGCGGTTTGGCGCCTGCCTTTGGCCCAGGGCGCGATCCTGGAGACCCGGGATCGAATCCCAGGTCAGGCTCCCTGCATGGAGCCTGCTTCTCCCTCTGCCTATGTCTCTGCCTCTCTCTCTCTCTCTCTCTGTGTGACTATCATAAATAAATAAAAATTTAAAAAAACAAAGCTTAAAAAAAAAAACAAAAAAAACAAAGAACTAGCTGCAGGAAGGGCTGAAAGGAAAAGAGATAACCCACAAGTTCCAGAACCTTCAGGATTAAAAGACAGACACTTTCTAATGCATACGTGTGAAGGATACAACAGAGAAACGCTGGCTGTAAATGCCACTTACAGCTGAGTCTCATCATCACGGCAAAAGCTCTTTCTCAGAGTCTGTGAATAAATACACAAGAGTGGCCCCAAGTATATTTTTTTCAGTGGAACAAGAGGGATCAGAAGAAAGAATCTAAAGATCTAGCTGTCTTGTAAAAGCCTGATAAGCTCAAGGTACCTGTTAATAACGTCTAGGAGAGAAAGAGAGGCAAGTTTCAAAAGACTATGGCTATTGGTTTGTGGAAACTAACTTTTTAAATTTAATTTTATTTATTTATTAATGAGAGACACAGAGAGAGCGAGGCAGAAGCATAGGCAGAGGGAGAAGTAGGCTCCATGCAGGGAGCCTGATGTGGGACTTGATCACAGGACTCCAGGATCACGCCCTGGGCTGAAGGCAGGTACTAAACCGCTGAGCCACCCCGGTGTCTTTTTTTTTTTTTCTTTTTAATTTTATTATGTGGAAACTAACTTGAATCAAATAATCAACCAAATCTTGTGAGAGCCTTACTGCCAAATGTCATTTGTTTTATATAGGAACAATAAAAAAAAAAAAAAAGGAACAATAATCACCCACTGATTACAGTGAGGTCTACTTCTTACCCTGACTATGACTTGTCTTTTTGTGTTTATTGACTGGGTTTTGGGTTTTTGTGTTTTTTTTTTTTTTATGAATAATTACCAAAATGTATCAGCTTAATCTTTATGCAAAGTGCTTTTTCTGTCTTTTTAAAGAAATTCATCCATACATAATATAGTCTTTTAAAAGATTTAAAGTTTCAGGGATCCCTGGGTGGCGCAGCGGTTTGGCGCCTGCCTTTGGTCTAGGGCGCGATCCTGGAGACCCGGGATCGAATCCCACGTCGGGCTCCCGGTGCATGGAGCCTGCTTCTCCCTCTGCCTCTCTCTCTCTCTCTCTCTCTGTGTTAACTATCATAAATAATAAAATAAAATAAAAATAAAAAAATAAATAAAGTTTCACATTTCAAATTTAATATAACCAAAGTTGTGTTTCAGATATGGGTTAACAAACTGTCAGAATAATTTTTTAAGAAAAATTTGACTTTTGAATAATATTACAGAACGAGAATTGCAGTCATCAATTTTCCCTCACGTTTGGGTCTCAGCTCTTTGTTCTATTCTACAGGTTTTTCTGTTCCTCATTAACATTCTCTTAATTATATAGCTTTATAAAAAGTGTGGCATGTTTCTTCTTTTTAAGGAACACCTTGGCTATTCTTGGTTCTTTATACTTGCATATGAGCACTGAAATAAGCTTATCAAAATTCTAACAAAAAAAAAAAATCCTAATGGGCTCTAAAGAGACCTGAATGAATCTAGACATCCATTTGGAGAATTGACATTTTAAAAATAATTTTTAGTGTCAATAGTATCTCTTCCCATTCATGCTGAAAATAGTTACTAAATAAATTCTACAAGGCTTTGTATAAAGGTCTAATATTGCTTGGTTCACATTACTACAATGTCTCATATTTTTATTGCTTTTGTCAAAAGTATCTCTATTTTTTACATTATGTCTTAAAACTTTTTTTAATGCTGGAAAGTTTCAAACATATACAAAGCAAAAAACAGTACAATGAATCCCAATGGGATTGGCTCAGGACAATCCCTTCTCCCTGTGATTGCCAGATAAAATAGTTTTGTTTGCAGGCTCTCTACTCATTTTCATTAATCTACCTGTCTATGCTTATATGACTTCATCTAAATCATACCCCTCTGATCACCACAGCACTATTTTCAATTAAGAAGTGCAGGCTGTATTTTAGAATGACCCCCTATAACCCAAATGACCCCCTATAACCCCTACTAAAATACTTAAAATAGAGAAAACACTTAAATGTTTCATGGTAAAAGGAGACACCTTTTTTTTTTTTTTTTTTTTTTTTTTAAGAGGGAGAGAGTATGTGCACACTTGCTAGCAGAGCAGGGGTTGGGGGTTGGGGTTGTGGGGAGGAGAGAGGCAGAGGGACAGGGAGAGAGAGAAAATCTTTAGCAGGCTTTACACTCAGCACAGAACACAATGAAGGGCTGATCTCAGAACTTGAGATCATGACCTGAGCCAAAATTAAGAGCTTAACCACTCCGGTTAAGAGCTTAACCCCAAAAAGAGAAACTTTTTTTTTTTAATTTTTATTTTTTTATTTATGATAGTCACAGAGAGAGAGAGAGAGAGAGAGAGGCAGAGACACAGGCAGAGGGAGAAGCAGGCTCCATGCACTGGGAGCCCGACATGGGATTCGATCCTGGGTCTCCAGGATCGCGTCCTGGGCCAAAGGCAGGCGCCAAACCGCTGCGCCACCCAGGGATCCCTAAAAAGAGAGACTTTTAAATATAAATTCTCTCATTTAACCCAAGTTTAACTTCCAAATATAATTCCTTTATCTCACATAACTAAGTAAGTTGAATGTTCTTGGTAAACTATATAAATGAAATGAAATTTGAAGCAGTATTTTGTTGTTTAGTTGTTTGGGGTTGGTGGGGAGAGATGTATATCCTTCCAGATTTTACACATACATAGTATTCGTGTATACCGGCACAGTATTTGTCTTATTTTTTGTAAAGTAAACTTTTTCACTTACTATATGGTTAACATTTTTTTCATGTTTAATATAAACATAGATAGCAGAATGTATAATGTACATACATATTTGAGATTAGCAGAGACTCCCTATATCCCCACACACTCACACACAAACCTGCTATATATTTTTTAATTCACTTAACAGAGGATACATAAATTCAAATAAGACAGCTACAGAGCAGAAAAATATAGCTTACATTTGTATAGCATTTTTCTTGCTCCAGTGGGGTGTCCTACAGTTAGGCAAGGTGTATTTTTTTTTTTTAAAGATTTTATTTATTTATTCATGAGAGACACAGAAAGAAAGAGAGAGGCAGAGACACAGGCAGAGGGAGAAGCAGGCGCCATGCAAGGAGCCCGATGTAGGGCTTGATCCCAGGACTCCAGCATCACACCTGGACCGAAGGCCGGCACTAAACCGCTGAGCCACCCAGGGATCCCCAGGCAAGGTGTATTTTGAAGACATTGGAATAGAAGGAGAAAATCTGGTTACTACATATAATTCTATCAAATGCTAAGGATTATGAAGGCCAGAGAATGTGATGTGAAATATGATCTTTCCAATTCAGGAACTTATTATTTAGTTAGATAGAAAAAACTAACACACAGAAAAAGAGAAAAATAGCACATAAATATTAAATTACATGGGACTGAGTGAAAGTAATAGAAGAGTGTAGAAAAGAGATACATTGGAGGCTTTAGTAGGGAATGCAGCTCGAAGAAAGAGATCTAGATAGGCGAAAGAGGTGATCATCAGAGAGAGAGAGAGAAGTGAGATAATCTCAAGAGAAACAAAGGCAATTATCAGCTAATAAAACTGTAGCAAAAGTCTTAGCCAGACCTTGCTCATTTAACTGTGGACAGCTAGTGATGGATGGCATCTCTTTGACGTCTGGCAGTTGCCTGGCTGGCAG